GGTGGGCATCTCTTCTCTCACACGTCCCTATGATTCTCGGTGATGAAGAAGATTTCTTTTTTTTTCTTTCGATAAGGTGATGAAGAAGATTAATTTTAGCAGCATGAATACTTGTTTGACATGGCATCGGATTGAATGCCCCATCAGAAAAAAAGAAATTTCAACTGTAATTCTGCTGCCATGTCATGCCACAGCCATGTGGTATTGACTTAACAGAAACTTCTAATATCTTGAAGGGGTTATTTAAAAAATTTTCAAAATACAGAGATCCACTTAGACCAAAAATATTATAAGGACTTAAACATAAGAAAATAGTATAGGGTGTATTATATATTTAAGCCTTATTGGGGTCGTTGGTGTATCATGAAGTTCTTCCACTAAATAATTTAATTTCAGCTTATGGCAGTTACTAAAAAGTCATTTCCTCCGAAGCAGTAAAGCCATGGATGCTAATATGGATATAATAGGTGGGTTGTTATTTTGCCTATAATTAACTAGTTAAATATTAAATATACGAATTTTTCTACAATGTGCACCAGAGGTATAATCAGAACAAAAAGAAGTTTTATGAAGCACCGAGGATTTGCTAATTGTGTGCAAATGCTACCCTCTAAAGCAGTTCCTATTATCAGTACTAACAAACAAAATCCATTGGAAGCTATTAATATAAATCTATATGTGAAGTTTTATTTCGAAAAAAAAATGAGTGAAGTTACCATAAATCTATAGGAACATCTATATAAGGGAATATTGTTCCCCTGGATAGAACAGCAATTTTTAGATACCTGAAAAACAGATAATTTAGATCCATACAAACAGCAAATAATCCAAAGGAAACATACCGCATGATACAACATATCATCCTTTCCAAGTGTTCTTGCATTGCTATAGAAAATAAACAGATAAACCATCCAGAGAATTTCTGATGCTGGATTAGCCTCAAGACTTCTTGAGAGCACATTAAGAGCCTGCAAAAGCAACAAAAATTTGCCATTCATTACAGGAACAAACCTTTTTTAAAGAAATACATCAGAAATTATGTATATACAACCAAGCTAACATCAGAGCAGCAAAAGTACCTTTTTCACACCATCTACTTTGTTAACCTCCTGATTAAGAATAAGAAGAGCCACTTCAAGGGATTGGACAGCAGCACCAAAACCTTCTTTGAGTTGATTCTAATATAGTAAAACAAGGACAAAACAAAACTAAACCTATCAGATGGTGACTGAATATCGCTTATGCTCCCAGCCACTTCAGAAGCAATCAATTAGTTACAAACATATAACATAGAGAAAATTTGATAAGGAAGAAAAACATTTGAAGATGACGATAAAAACAAAGTTATGCAGGATATCAAATACAAGAAATCCAACACCATCCTCCACAAATCCCCCCACACTCAAAAAGAAAAAAAGGAAGAGGAAAAAACCACAGGCAAAGGACTATATCACTACTTGACACAAATATTGATCCAAAGCATGGGATTTATGAGGAATATAGCTTAAGGATATTCCAGGGCAAAAATAATGGTTTGGTCCTTGTATTATTAATTTTTGTTTGAATTAGTCTCTCTTTCAATTTTCGATCAAATTAGTTCCTATACTTTGAAAAGTTTTCGAACTATTAACACCGTTAACTAATTTGACATGTGACAACCTCTTATTAATTTTAGCATAAATTGAATGACATATCAAATGTCACGTGACATTTGATGTGGAAAAGATAATTTATTTTTGGACAGATTTGAATTAGTCCAAAATTTTTTTTTTAAAAAAAAGAAACAGGAATACTTCTCTCTCTTCCTTTTTTCTTTGAGACAGTCCAAAAATAAAACTATTTCCTCACCATTTCAATCGATGCTTAAAAAATAATTGTTCAGAAGAAATTCTGCAAAGTATTTTTTAAACCACACAGCAATTTAGGACATTACTAAGCACGATCTGAAACAGGAGTGCAGGCCTCATCCCATTCTGTAAGTAGTGCTCACATTTTTACATGCCTGTTCCCAGGTAAATGATAAATTTGGAGGAATCTTTCACCACTTTCCTAAACCTTCTACCAAACAGTAAGAACAGGCTGCATCTTGCAGCCATATCACTTGGATCATGGCACCTACATTTGCCTTTCCAGTTCCAATTTGGAGTTGTCTCGACAAGCTTATGAGGTACAAGCTATCTTTCCCGCTTAGTGAACTTGCAGAAATTGTGAACTCTCAACCTGGCTATTTGAGCCTCCTCTCCAGGTGTCATTTCTCTCACCATAACAGTCAATGGGCACTCTGGTCTCAATTTTAGGCCACATTTTCTCTTAGCATGGTAGGAACTTCTCTTTCTAAAAAACCATTTTCCAACAAATGCCTCAACAACAAGGAGGTGATCAGGATCCAACCCATGATTCCTGAAGAGAGGGTAGGTTGTGGATGAGCGGATGAGTTGGAAAGTGAAGCAGGTGAAGAGGTTGGTGGGGCCGAGGGAGAAGAGGAGAGAGAGAGAGAGAGAGAGAGAGAGAGAAGCAAATTGAGACTTGAGAGGAGGAGAGAGACGAGGAAAAAGAAGGAAAAGAGAGAAACATTGCTGGTTTTTTATTAAAAAAATTGGAATTTTTTCCAGGTCAGATGTCACATGGCATCTGATATGATATTTAATTTATGTTTAGATTTATCAAAATATACATATCAAGAAATTTGACATGTGACATCTAAGTTAACGATGTTAATAGTTAGTAACGGAAAAGTATTAAATTCAAAATTTTTAAAATTACTGAAACTAGTTTGACCAAAATTGAAAAAATGACTAATTTGAACAAAAATAAATAATATAGGGACCAAATCATTATTTTTGCTGATATTCCAGACATTTATCTGGCAAACACCAGCTTATTTTAGAGAGGTTATAGGATTTCAAAAATAAAAGCTAATATATACTAGCTTTGGGTAACTTATAAGCTCTTCATTAAATTCTTGGAGAACCCACAAACTCCTTTCACCCAAGTTTAAGCTATGCCTGACACCCTCTAAGATATTCTAGTGCATGACTATATGTAGCAGTATCCTCATAATGAAGAAATAGAGTGGTGTATGATATACAAACCATTATGCCATTTTTACTCTGAAAATAAGACGCTTGTCTATTCCAACTTCCATAGACCTCGATGCGACCATCACATCCACGCAAGCATGACCTATCTGCAAAGAAATTGTTCTGAAGAAAAGAAGATAAAGCTAAGGAAATGCTGAAAACCTTCCACCAGCACTGTCCATTCTTCTTCGCTCCAAGAGATTCATATGAATGTGAATTGACTTTCATAACATCTAAGCTAACAAAATATGTTGGTGGAGTCAAAACATTGTGATACTTGGAAAGTTTAATCACATCATTACTTTTCTGCTGCTTTGAAGTTAATCCCACCTGACAATCTACAGACATAGTATTTCAGGAATCTGAGCAACAAAAAAACGGTTTCCAAATTATAGTAGGAGATCATACCAGCATTATCAGAAATGTGACACCGATGCCTATTTCCTCCAGAACAGTTGTTCAAATGTTGCCAAGGACATTCGTCATTGTTACACTTTCCTCGTAGCTCATACATGCAGAGTGGCCATAACGGGTCAATCTTAGAATCGCATGAATAAGAACTACTTTCTCTGTCAAGTAGCAAGCTAGCTGTCAAATCTTTCTGCTGCATTTCATCTTCGCAAGTATTATCCGACTCATGTTTTTTACATCCATTCTCGGTTAGCATTGGAGTGTTTGGTGACATCATTTTCAAATGACGAAAAGCACTCCTCAAAATCAAAGAGGATGGGAGTGCGCTGAAGAATGGGACATGATTTCTGGTTCCACTGCCCTCCAAATCAGAAGAAGAATAAACTTTCAAGGAACTCTTCTCAACATGCCACTGTTCCTCCTTCTGTACATTTTCCTGAGACACACTTCTTTCCAGTCGATCAGTACCTATACAGAAAATAAAAATCATTAAAGCTGCTGCATTCGAGAAGGGAGGAAAAAAAATGCCTACATTTAGAACCACTGTGACAATCAATTTGAGTAGCAATGAAATGTTGCATATTTACAATTTTTTTAAAGTAAAAATGATGCATTTTTACATTAACAAGTACATCTAGTGACTCCTTGCCAGAGCCTTATAACCCATGGACCCCATGCATGGTAGGTGCAGTTTCAGGTTGTGAGCGCAATCTCTTCCAAGTTCAGGTTATTTTTCTTCAAAAAGAAGCAGCTAATAAGTTCTGGAACAATACATAGCTTCGTGCCAACACTATTGGAAAAAAAAGGCCCTAAATTCAAGAAGAGACATAACTGATTTTTCTTTAAATTAGTTCCCCTTAAAGAAACTTGCCTCGGAATTTATATTGCTGATTTTTTTCTGTCTCTAATAATGGAATGCTCCCTTCACTCATCAGGGTTTTCTCACTTCCACCATCACTTTCAGCCCCCTGTTCAACCACACACTCCATATTGTAACATGAAGTGCCATTTTTTGACATTGTTCTCCTTCCTAGTCGTGCAAATAGTTCAGACCTTAATGCTGCTTCAAGAAGAAAGGAGTCTTGACAGCTATCAATAAGAAACATGTCCTTTAATTCATTGTTTGTGCTATCTTTAGTTATTTCTAAAGTACGCTCCTTTGGCTGACATCCAGAGTTGAATTGAGCTGACTCATTATCCATTGACAAAGTCTCCTCATCCTCATCCAGTGAAATATTTGGATCACTGGATGGAGAGCTTATCATATTTCCAGCATGTTTGCCATTACAAGGCAATTGTTCGGAGGTACTAGCATCTGGCTCACTGCATGGTTCTGATCCCAAATTTTGTCCACTGCCATGATGATAAGGCAGATTTCGAGGACCACTATTGGCACAATGAAGATTTGAATTGTACACTGGTTGATTAAATTCATCATAGTCAAGCTGGATCCCATATGATTTCGGTATTATGTCCATGTTTTCAGTTCTGTTATCTATGTCATCAAAAGCAATACCAGCATTTGCATGCTGCCTGGAGGATAACAATAAACTGGAATCATGCATGAGAAAAGATCTAAAATGGGCTGAGCACATCTCTCTTCTGCGATAAAGGTCTACGCATCTAGCATTAGCCTCAATCAGTGACCTCTGTGCTCTCCGGTAAGCTTTAAGAGCATTTCGTTCTTCAATCTCACATATGCGCCTGTACTCTTGCCCCTCCTCCAGTTCTTTGTCCAGTGATTCCTCCATATCAGCTAACGATTCTATATTTTGGCTGCCATGTCCGAAGACATTTATATTATCCGAGCCACTCCAGATGCTTGCATTTCCCAAAGATCCCTTCAGTGCCAAGTAAACACAAATATCAACAAAAATAGGAAGAAAAAACATGATTAAATAAAAGGTCTTTACAACAAGACAACACCAAGAACATTGAGAGAGACCTCATGTCTGTTATTGACAGAGACCCTGCTTTTGTTGTTCAAGGAGGCTTTAAGTGCCTTATTACCAAATAACATTTTGCAATCAGTATTGCTTTTTACTAGATTCTGCTTTGTTGTTGCTCGGTTCAAGGAAGAGTTTCCAGGTATATCTCCACCAAAATTACTGGGCTGATTCTGTTCTGCACTGCTCTACAAAATTACATGAACCATGTACATTCAATTATTCAAGCCTTCAAACCTTGGATATTTGCTGAGCTCTACATATATTGTTTTCAAGTCTTAACTAATTATTTATGCATGTGTACAACAAGGTTTTTAAAAAATTGTACCATGTTAAAGAATGTTAAAAAAATTGCTTAGTGCAACAGCAAGTGAAATATAATAAGTTAACCGGGAAAATTACTAAAACATAAAGTAATATACAAAAAAACTATTACATATTGGGGGGAAAAACAAATGCATAATTTCTCTTACAATTTAAAATAACATTACAAAAGCATGTTCTCCAATGTTAGTTAAGTACAACCTTAACAACCATTTTAATGACAAATGTTTATAAAATTACTACTTTTCCCTTTACCTGAATAAAATAATAAAATTGTGTTCAGTTAAGCTTCCTCTGATACCAAAGCTATTTGAAGACACTCTAATAACTATTGCTCCAAGTAGAAAACCAGAAGAGAGAAGAAACATCAGTGGCATGCTAATTCTCATTTATGCCATACCCACACTTTCTTGCAAATTGTGCAGGAGGAAATCTACATATACTTACTTTAAAATCAGTATTAGCTACTGAAAATGACTAACATTGCAAATCCAATAGGTTCATGCCCAATCTTTTATCGGCACATTTGTGCTCGATGGGGATCCTCGTGGTTTTCATGGATTATTTATATTTATGATTGGTTGCATTAATGACAATCATGATATAAATCAAGAAAAAAAGGACATGGACCTGCATCACCAACTAAACACCACACATAAATTAGGTCTGTTCGATGTTTCTCTGTCTCGTCTCTCTGTTTAGGCTTTTCTGAGGCCATGGCACAAAAATGAAAGAAAACTATGGAAGCGTACCTGATTTCATGGGAGGCATGAAAGATGATGAAGCACGGGTAGTTGGGAAAGATAGAGGAACCAAACAAGCGATTCTCCTGAGCGTGAAAGATGGGCGATTATGGACCCATGATGGTGGAAATTTGAAGGGGCAAAGGAAATCGATTAATCTAGAAGGGAATCAAAGAATGAAAAGCATGGACCCGTGATGGTGGAAATTTGAAGGGGAAAAGGAAATCGAACAATCTAGAACGCAATTGAAGAATGAAAAGCATGTGATTGGCTTAGGGGAGATATTTTCTTTTTTATTCTTTTTCTATGAAGAGGAAAATAAAAGGACATGATGGGCATTCTAAAAAATAACAGGAATGATTTTTATTTTCTTTTTTGATAGGAAAGATTATAAGGGTTTATAGGTCAAAATATTTGGTCAACATTTCTATGATTTAAAACGGATTGATATTACCATAGCCTGAATCACGTTTTAGTAATTTACCCAAATTAATTTCACAAGGGGCTCTTTGGTTTAATTTCTATCATATTTTTTTACTTAAATACAAAAGTATCGTAATAGATTTTGATCATAATTTTCATGTTTCAATCAATTCAACTCCTTCATTGTATTTATTGAAGACATATTTTGATTCCCACTCTAATAGATTAGAAATCCACAATAATTATGTCCAGCTACATATCAAGGAAATTCTAGTAAGTAAACAAAAAGAATAGGAAATAAATTGAATAAGAAAACCAGACTGGACATTAGCACATTTAGTTAGTCCCCTCCTCGCATATGATAAATGCAAATGTCCATTATCACAAGCAAGTATGTGCCAGACATATTATTGTTGTAGCAAAATGAGGAAACTGTTATATAAGGAAATAGAACAATACAACATAATTGTTCCATTATCACATTCGGGCCTTTGGTACCACATAAGCAAACACAAGTAAAACTAGCAAGCAACAAATTATCATAAGAACGTATGTGTCTGACATAATATAGTTGGTAAAATGAGGGAACTGCTGTATAAGGAAACATAACAATCATGCAGTGTAAAGAAAATGAAGCAGCCAATCATACAGAACCAGGAGTTTGATTAAAGAAACATAATCATAAAATAATAAAGTAAAATAAAATTATAACTTAAACACTTACTGTATTTTCTGGCAAAGTATCAGAGATGATATTTGCTTTTGGGGCAATTTGATGTGACATTACAAAGTGATCAATGGGGCTCCTCACCTCGTCAGTTTGATTGGAACTACCACTGATATTAACACCTGTGAGACATAACCAGTCTCATCCTGTAAGAATCACTGAAGATGGAAGAGAAGAAGCTTAATGAAAGATAAGAACAAATTATTACTATCATATCATCAAAAATATTTGTCACACCATGTATTTTTTCTGGTGGAACATCCACTCGTCTACCATCTAGCTTGTTCGTTTTAACATCAGAATCTTTTCTGCTCATGGAAATTCCTTCATGTCTACTGTCAACCTTATTATCATCATGCAGGCTACCTTCCTCCAACAGCAGATTTTTAGGAGGTAAAGCTGATTGTGCAGGAGATACTTTCCCCCCACTATCTGAAACTACCTGGGCAGGATAAGATTCACCAACTTTTATTCGTTTCTTGTCCGGTTCTTTTGGTCCCAATATTTCAGTATCACCAGAAGCTGAATTACATTTCCTAGATGCATCATTGCTCGTGTTGGGAGAATTATATTCCTTACATGAAACCAAATTAGATTCCTTACTTTGCTGGCAGAGCTTACGCTTTAGCTTGCTTTCCCGAATTGCAATCTGCTGCTTCAATTCCTGAAGTTTACTGTCACTAAAACCCAAAGTTCTGTCACATTGACGGTCACGATTTCCTACATTTTTGTTGACCCTATTAAATTTCTTAAGTTGAGAATGTTGCTCAACCAATGAAGGCCCAGGACTTCTAGCATTAGTTCCCGCATTAAATATGCGACGTACATAGAAGTTTTTACGCATTAATCCATTAACATTTCCAGCACTCTGCCGTGATCTTTTTGATTTTGCCAACGAAGAAGAAGGTGGCCTTTGATTGCCACCAGGGCCACTTGTCCCGGACTGAACCTTTAAAGCTTTTCCTTGCTCCTGACTATCAGATTCACTGTCACTATCATCATCAGAGAAGCTAATCACAAGGTTCTTGTCCGAAGCTGGAGTTCGATACCATCTAGGATTGGCACATTTAAATGGCACCCGAATTTTCTTGATATTCTTCTGATTGTTAGGCAGGATAGATGTTGGAGGCTGTGTACGAATATAAATGTTTCCAGAAGCACTTGTTCCTGCAAAGTGTCAATTGCCCATTAACTATACTTTCGGCATCAACATAGATATTTACTTATAGTAATTAAACAGCTCATCTTAACCCGAGAAAAAAAAAGATGGAATCACTTTGCAATTCTCAAGTTGATATCAAATCCAACCCGCTATTAAAGGTGAAAGGAGTTATCAAGATATCATATAAAATTTGCTTATGCATAGAGCAAAATTCGATTTCATGTCAACTTGCATTTCAAAATGAGGAGCAAGAGTGAGAATGACTTCTACACTAGAAGACCAAACACTAATGTAGATTACAGACATTATCAACAAGGATGCACTATGACTTCAATCTCATTTCTTGCCACAATATCACCATATCAGTAATAATACCTGCCTGTATCCGATGAACAGATTTGTTTGTGGAAGGAACTGAATTGTATCCTGCAGTCGGTGCAATATTACCAGGGGGCATTGCGACAGAGAGAATAGGTTCTTCCTACATATAGAGATAACAGTATATATTTTAAGTAGTATTTTAATTTTTTAAAGAAATTTTTAGTAATATTGTCATGCAGGAAAAACACATCTGAAATTGGAAATGCTCCAATACAAAAAGTAACTTTACGACAATGAATGAAGTTTATAGTTTGAAAGCATTGATACCTAAAATAGTTGAACGTAAGCTTTTTACCTTTTCTGGGCACTGCATTAAAGCTAGAAATTGAGGAACCTATAAAGCAGAAAAATTCCACATCCCCAACATATTGAAAAGTGAAAAACTCTCAAAAAATCAAAAAGAAACCAACAAAATGAACAAAAAATTATTAAAATGTTCTAACAAAAAATTAAAACCATACCAGATAAGTAAATCTCCAACAGTCCAACACAACTAACATCCAATAAATGTATAAACATATTTACAAAGTTTCATTACTTCAATTCCAATTAATTGGCACCCATTTTTCCCATTAGAACTTTAAAAAAAAAAAAGCATGGTTCACAAGTCAATCAAACGACAAGAAGTTGTCTATCTAGAATAGCTTATGCTTTTGCCAGAAACCCAAGGATAACCCCTCCTCGGTTTCCCTCTACTTTTCTCAACAACCAAACACAAACAGTATAACACTTACTAATAACTAACGATTAAAGGCTGAAAAAACATAGAACCATACATAATAACCGCATCCTTAGATCCTAAACCCTCATCTTAAACATCGAAACTCAGAAAATAAAACCTTAAAAAAGAAGAACGTGAAATGAAAAGGAAAACAATACTACGGAGAGTCGACGTGAGTTCACTCTCCAAAACCCCATTGAAGCATTAGATTGAATCCAATAGTTTTCTCAATTTATTCTCACACAAACTTTCAGCAATCAAAAACGATTAACCCCCCAAAACAAAAAAAAACTAAAGCTACCTAATGAACGAGCCAGCGAGAGAACAAGATAGAGGAGAAAATATATATACCTAAAACCAGGTAAAGCAAAACAACAAAACGCGTCAGAGTGCAATATATACACGCAAAAACACATGAATTATAACAATGATAATAAAATGAAAGCGCGATTTCTTGAAGAGACATTACTTCTTCGTCCGACGAGGAGAGCTCACCTTCTTCTCTGCCAGATCGTGACGCTTCGAAAAGAATCGCGTCCACTGCACCTGAGGCCACCGTTTTATGGAGCTCACCGGTTTCGTCCATTTTTATTAGTAAATTTCTTTCCTTTCTTGTTTCTTATGACTTTCTCTTTCTCTCTCTTTCTATATCTCACTCGCTCTAAAATAACCTTTTTTTATCGCAGATATAACGAAACGTTTTTTTTTCCCTTTGTGGATTACTTTCCTTTCTGTGGCGGCCGACGGGTTCCAGTCGCCGGAGAAAGTAAAACCGGAGGCGGGTCAATGAGTGTGAAAGTACAGATATACCATCGATGGCTGACGCGGTTTTACACTTTGCACTCCTTTGTTTGGTCGTTTTGGATGGGTATATTCGTCATTTTGGTTAATAATGTTGAAAGAGTGGGAGCCAAATGGAAATAATCTCAAATAAATTGGCAATAATCTAAAATTAATTAATTTACAGGTTCAGTAATTACGCTAACTAGATGTTAGATACGAGTTATAATTTCAAATTATTAAATTATAATTAATTAAAAATTTAGTTCTATTTTTATATTTAAAAATTTTAAATAATTATTTATATATTACTAAAATTATATTTATATTTAAAAATTATAGAGTTTATAATTTATAGTTAATTAAAAATTAATTTTTTTTTATATCTTAAAAATTTAAATAGATAATTGTTTTGTACATTATCATAATTTTTTAATATTTTAAAATTTCAATGACTAGTATTTAAAATTTTATTTATATATCATGTTAGTTTTATTTTTATATTTTAAAATTTAAGTGGATAAATATTAAAATTTTATACTTTAGAAATTTTAAATTAATAACTATTATATTTTTATATTTTAAAAATTAAATAAATAAGTATATTTATTATGTTTTTATATTTTGAAATTCAAGTGTATAATATTTAAATTTTATGTTTTTATATTATATATATTTTAAAATTTAAGTATATTGTATTTAATATTTTAATATACTATATATATTATAATTAATATTAATATATTACTTTTATTTTTATTTCAAATAATACGAAAATGTCATGAAACTTTTTTTTTTTAATTTTTTCATCTGTATGTGTATATATATTGTTGTTTGAGCATACATATTTATTTTAATGGCACTTGTACATGATTTAGTGGATCTTAAAAAATTACAAAATTTTAATTTACCAAAAATATAATATATGGAATAAATTAAAAATTTTCCTAAAAACTTACCACAACAAAAAATTA